CTGTTGTGAGCTGAATTCAGAGAACTGTTTTGCTATAAATGTAAAATCAGCCTACTGGAAATATATTTTTTTTTTATCATTTCTGCTGAACTCCCCCTTTTCTTTTTATTATTTAAAATGATTTTTTTGTTTGGGCCTCTAGCCACCTCACTGAAAGTCAGCAAAACAGCACAGACCGTCATGCCTCGCTGGCGCATAGTGGCGATGGTCTCTCCAAGAAATTCAACTCCTCCGTTCCCGCTCCGTGTCCGGCTGCGCTGATGCCGCTCGTGTGCTGAGCCCATATGGGCACGGATGGGTGGTTTGTCATGCCCCGCTCAGCCCCCTGGTAGAAATTACTCACACGCAAAAACACCAAGTAATGTGTGTAAACACTGAGTTTGCTGATACTAAAATACTGTCGCGGCAATAGCAGATGACTCGAGTCTAATTTTTCACCGGCTTGATGGTAGATATTAAAGATAGGGGATGTCAAAACGTCATATGAGGGTTACTGCAAGGTGCAGTATTTTTTGTAGCCTGTATATTCACTTAGCAGTTTTACAGTTTATCTGTTCCACTGGTTATTAACTTAACACAAAGCACTGCCATCAGTTAAGGCCTGTCTGCAAGCCTTGTTTTCAAACTGCAGACTGGCCTCCAGCCACATTAAAGGGTTCATATGATGCGATTTAAATTTTTCTTTTCTCTTTGGAGTGTTACAAGCTCTTGGTGCATAAAGAAGATCTGTAATGTTGCAAAGACTAAAGTCTCAAATCCAAAGAGATATTCTTTATAAAAGTTCAGACTTGTCCACTCCCTCCTAAAACACCTTGTTCTAACACGCCCCCACATGTCTATGTCACTGTGTTGGGAAGATTTGCATAACACCACCCAAATGTTCACGCAAAGAAAGAAGGCGTAACTTTTCTTCTCGCTGTAGTGTTGCCGCCGCCATGTCGTGAAGACGCTGTGTGTTTCATTGTGAAAGCGAAACTACTTTGTTTGGCCTTCCAAAAGAGGACGATATCCGCTTCGCCATGCCTGGAGCTGATCAGTGCTGGTTGCTGAGGAAATACGTTAACTTCGTGCTGTCATCATTTCTCCGATCACAAATGCAGACATGGTTTTATGTTTACGCGGCGCAATACACAACACAAAGTGTAAAAAGACAGTATAAGTCATTATAATCAGTAATTATGTCCCCACTGGATGCAACAAATGCCTCGTTTGTAATGGGTTTTATTGGTTTTGTCTCGTTGCGCCAGGACACATGGAAACACAGTA